GACCTGATTTTTTTTCTTTGCTTCCGGTCCTTTGTCTCGTTCCCCACTCTCCTCAGATTGTAGGCGTTTGGTGGAGGGGATTTCTGTGCCTCCATCGTTTTTATGGCGCCTCTCATCAGCTTCCTTCTCGGTAGTTTCTGTTGATGCTTTTTTTAGACTTACAGTTTTCTTTTTACATTGATTATTATCTGTAGAGTGATCTTCACATGATGTAGCTTGGTCTTTCGAAGTGCCTGACTTTTTTATTAACCAACCGTCCATTTTTCTCCTTCACGTAGCAGAAATCACCACAGTGACCGCAGTCAAAAAAGCGACAGGCTCCACCTTGTGGCCAAATGATGAACTGCATGCATAATTCATGATAGAAAAGACAATTTTTAAGAAAATAATTTGGCGACCCATAAAAAATCTTTTACGACCCCATTGTGGGTCGGGACCCCAACTTTGGGAATGACTGGTTTAGAGCACACGAGATTTCCGGTTAGCTTCTTAGCTTAGCCTCCTTCACAGTGACATACATCACGGCCAACTGATCCAATCATTTTAAACTTCAGAGGCCACGCCTCCTGCAAGAATCTCTTCTCTATAGCTGAGAGTCCAGACCGTCGTATGAAGCAAAATGAAGGACAGGGTCTGGTTTTAACCAGGCTAGTAATACTGCAGCATCTTGCAGTATTTGTTAGTGCCAGGAGTGGTTGTTGAGGATGACTCTCAGCTATTATCACATAATATTTATCTCATTGTTCAAAAAGGCTGATTTATTTCTATCTCTGTATTTCCCAACTCAGTTTCCAGCAGGTGCAAAACTGCACGACATACTAAAAATAGAGGCACAACACAAATTCAAGAATCGATTCCATTGTAGGAAAATCATGTTCAATAAACTGGAAGATGGAATAGGTTTGCAGTGAACCAGTTGATCGCTTGTAAAAAATCTTTATTCAAAAATAAGACTCTAATCAGGCCCACAGCAGCCAGCTGCAGCTCTGTGAGAGTTATCAGAACAACAAAACAACGACAATTCCTCTCAGGAGCTCAGCGTCTGTCCCAGGCTGATCCAAGAGGCAGACTACACAAGGATTAATCACTCTTTTAAAGTAACGTACATCTGACTTCCTGGTCACACTCCTGGAGGTGGTACTTTAAAAGTAAATGAGTAAATTGCTCAAATTACTCAACTGGATTTGGTTGAACTGATTTGGTTCATTAAATTCAACACTTCATTTCTTAGAGTGTGTGTAAAAGTACTTTTACTTTCCCTATGATTGTGAGCAGTTTTATAACTTTTACTTAAGTATCCTGATGCATCTCAGTAATCCAGGCAGAAAAATCTAAAATAAAAATCAGTAATTCCTCTGGATGGTTCTTCTTTAATGAAACGTTTCGTCTCTTCTCCAAGAGACTTCTTCAGTCTGAGAGTTTCAGGTGAACTCAGCCTTATAAGCTCTGCCTCCATATGGTGGACAAAGAGGCTCATCAGCAAAACAATAGGTCGTTAGTGCCAGGCACAAACAGAGTAATATTGTGTATGCTGTTAGGTGTCATGAGGACTGTGATCAGTTATAAATCTGAGAAACAAAACAGCCACTGTTCAAAAGAATGATCCAGCACAGACGAGCTACTTCATCAGGCCAGGACTCTACAGTTTACACTCATCTACAGGCCAGGACTCTGTAGTTTACACTCAACTACAGGCCAGGACTCTGTAGTTTACACTCAACTACAAGTCAGGACTCTAAAATTTACACTCATCTACAGGTCAGGACTCTACAATTTACACTCATCTACAGGTCAGGACTCTACAATTTACACTCATCTACAGGTCAGGACTCTACAGTTAACACTCATCTACAGGCCAGGAATCTGCAGTTTACACTCATCTACAGGTCAGGACTCTACAGTTTACACTCATCTACAGGTTAGGACTCTACAGTTTACACTCATCCACAGGCCAGGAATCTGCAGTTTACACTCATCTACAGGTCAGGACTCTAAAGTTTACACTCATCTACAGGTCAGGACTCTACAGTTTACACTCATCTACAGGCCAGGAATATGCAGTTTACACTCATCT